CACAGGCTGAGCCCCTAATCTGAAACCCGAAATCGGAAACACTCCCAAATCCCCACCTCGAGCACCAGCAGGAACACCACCGTGAACAGTTCTGTGTCTGACTTCTCGTGACAGGGTCTTCTCATATATACCACATTGTTTTTTTCGTTGAAATTTATTTTTAAACTATTGCATATAACTGCTTTCAGACGGTGGGTATAATGTGTGAAACATGAAGCCACGTGAGGGTGGAGTTCCAGCCTGGGTCGCCTGTCCCTGAGAGAGCGATAGGCAGCCATTCCAGATCCCAGGAATCCCTCAGGCGCCAAGCATTCCAGAGGAGGAATTCCTGCAGCAGGGGCTGGAGCGGGAGTGGCCTGGAGAATGCTGCCCTTCTGTGCTCAGACTCCAGGCAGAGGCAGGGGCAGGTGTGCAAGCCGGCAGGGGATAGGCCACGCACAAATTACGAGGAAAGGACGCAGGAGGGGATGTCGCGGGGAAGAGAAATGGAGTGAATTCCGCGGGAGTGGACCACTGGGCTCGGATGAGGGCACGTGAGCATCAAAGGTCCAGGCCGAGAGGAGGGCTGGTAAGGGTGCCGGGAGACAGGCCGCCCCTCTCTGTCTCTCACGCCTGTCCCTCCCCTCGGTTCTCTGTTTCTGGGTAGCAAGGAAATAGTTTCTTTGAATTCTTTTAAAAATTAAGTTTTCGGTAGCCTATGTTTGTTTCCTAAAACAATTCCAAGTGGTTATGTATAGTGAGCACTTTGTGCGGGTCATCGATGAAAATCAGATGGAATGGAATGAGGTTAGAGATGGAACCGCATCGCTGCGCCTCCCAATGCTCGTGGCTCTCGAGTTCCGGCCTGCCTCTTGGCCTCACGTTCAGGTTTCCTAGCAGGGCTGTCGTCACCGCTTCTGCCTGTGGTTTTCATGCTTCTCTGTGTATGGAGGGAGGGAGATGGAAGACAGGCACTCCCAATGTCCTCACGCCACGGGCCTCCTCTGGACCAGATCGTGGCATGCAGGGGTACCCTGTGCGCTCAGGGGCGGTCCAGGGCCCCAACCTGGGACCTTTCCCGTGAGGGCGCAGGAGCACTGCCACACTGTCCCCACCTGGCTCCCTGTTTCCCTGAAGCAGTAGGAAGCAGTTGTAATCGCCGTCCACACCAGCAGTCAGTGCTGGAGCCTGTGGGATACGCAGCTATCCTGTCCCCAATGATCCGTGGGGCTCAGTGTCTTTAACACCTGTTAACCGCAAGACTATGCTGCTTTCCGGAATTCTACTTTCTGTACCCTAGACTTTTTAGATCCCTGTGTCGGTGATATGTAATATAACAGATCTTTTCTGTTCATTTTCATGATTTGAATCTTCTTTTCACTCTTACATCTGACATATGGTTTCTCTGAACTTCAATTGTTATTTCAGGCTCTTCTCGAATTTATGGAAGTTTTTTATTGCTCATTGTTCTTTCTAAAATGACTTCCATTGGGAAGGGAAGAGCAGTTACTGAATCAAAAGTCCCCAGAGGACAGGGGCCAACTTCTCCTCCACACCTTCCTCATCCTCGCCAGCCGGCTCCCTGGAACGGGGACAGGAACGACTCTGTCCTCTGTCTTAGGCCTGCGCCCGTTCGCCTCCTCGTTGGGCTCTGGGTGGTTTCCTAATCTCTCCGTTTAACCAGCGAGCACCCCTCATCTGGGACTTGGGCACTCTCTTTCATTAGTTGCAAGGCTCAGATTTTAAAGTTTTCTGTACTTGAAGTTTCTCTCTCTTTTTCTTTTCCAAGTGGCCAGAGGGTGCCTGTGCTGGCCAGAGACAGGGCGAGCACCGACTGGGCGTGGTCACTGCCGGCCCTTCCCTTCCCTCTCTACCCATCAGGGTTTCGCACGTGCGTGCTCACATGCCCAGCCTGCTTTTCAAGCTCTTGGGGCCAGGCTGGGATCCGACTCCCTTAACCCCTAGGCTGCAGAGCCAGCCCCGTACCTGACTTTGTCCCACTACTTAACAGAGAAAACTAAAGAAGCCAGGCCACCCAGTGTTGCAGACGTTAAAGCGGATCCCACACAGCTAACTGCAGATTGAGCCCCGGGCCAGGCTTTGAGAACCACACCAGGGTGTGCGTGCATGCCCCAGTCCTGACAGGGGATGGAGAAGGGACCGTGGCGTAGCCACCCTCTGGGTGCTTTCCCACTTTCCCCTCCGTCTCTCTCTTGCACACATGCACATACCCTATAGTCAAATTAAAAAAAAAATGTTTAAATACACAAGATTACTAAAACACCTCATGATATGCACAAAAATTACCAATATATGCAGAAGAGGGCTTGGGGATTTGTGTTTTGAATGAATTCTCTTCTCCATCAGATTTGTTCCTGCTCGATTCATTGTTGGGCAGCTGGTTTGGGTTCAGGGTAAACAGACAGAGTAAGAGACCGGTTTTATTTTGGACATAGTGAGGGACATTCTCTAAGTGGGCATGATTATAAAGCGTCCTCACTTTCCTTACAAACCCCACGGAGGACTCCTGCGGTTCCCCCGGGGAGCTGACCGTAAGCCAAGACTGATTTAGTCGCCTCCCTCCGGTTAGGACTGCGGCTTGCTTTCTACTGGTCACTAGCAGCCGGGCTTTCTCAAACGGCAGTGAAAATGCAGACTTTCCAAGGCAGAACCTTTGGAATGTGTGGTTCCGACTGCCACCCAGAGTTAAAGGAGGTTTGGGTTAAGAAATGCTTCTATAAAAGCAATAGCCACAATTATGCATGGTTTCTAGTATTTTTACCTATAAATATGTTTCTAACAAAAATATCTTTAAAAGAGGACTATACAGAAAAGTAGGAAGAAAAACATTCTCCTACTCCTACCCCTCAGACAGCCATTCTCAATATTTTAGCAGACTTGCCCTCTAATTTTCTGTGCATGCATTTTTCAGATACTTGAAATTGTGCAGAACACAACACCTTTTAAAAACAGAAGTACCTTCTCTCTTAACTGTCAATGCTCGTAGAGTCAAAACCGCCACGAGCATTTTTCTGACCGTAAGAATAATGCGGATACTTAGAAACTACAGCCCAGAATCTAATGAAAAATTAAAACCACCCACAAATTTATCAAGCAGTGTTAATTTTTGATATATTTTCACTCTTTTCTACATATACGTAATATGCAGCTTTACATTGGTCAAATTATACTGGCATTCCCTTTTGTCGTCAATGTCTTAAATATAAATTTTATACACTGTCAAAATACTTTTGTATTTAGATATATAGAATAATTTTATTGCAGGAAACTTGGAAAAATAAAAAAATGCAAAAGATATAAACTGGTAAATCATACAACCAGCATTAATATCTGATATTTTGGGTGTACTCATTTACTTGGTCTTTTTTATGTGTACATGTGCTTTTTTTTTTATGGATATAAGAATACAATTCTGGGGACCAGCAGTTAGAGTAATGGCTACGTCGCTGGACTCCCACGTAGTCGATGGCTGTTCGCATCCCGGACCTGGTGGCTTAAAGCTCACGCTGGGCGCGTGTGCGTGCGTGCCCAAGATCCCGAGAGGAGAATGGAGGAGAAGGGATTGCGGTGTGGCCATCCCCCCTGGGGGGTGATTTCTCGCTTTCTGTCTGTCTGTCTCTGTCTGTCTGGCGAGCGCACACGCCCTATAGCGAAAACCTCTCCCCCCCCCAAAAAAAAAAGAATACAATTCTGGTGACCAGCAGTTAGAGGAGTAGGTATCAAACCAGTTTCTAGGTGTGTAAGCCTTCGGGTGTGTAAGGAAAGGCGTGTGCGGACACAGGGACTGTCACTGCTCTCCGTCAGGCTCAGGTTCATCTTTCTGATGAAGCCTCCGGGGGCTGGTTCTGAACACGACCGACGCCTGACTTTGGTCAGGATCGATGAGCAGGGAGGGCCAGTTGCCTGGAATGCGCGAGCAGTGCCCGGTCTACCTGCACACGTTTCGTGACTTGATGAGGCCGCAGCCTGGTTACTGGGAGCGCAGGTGTCTGCTTGCAGTGTAGGCCGCGCTCTGTGCACTGGGCGAGTGGGACAGCATTTTCGAGATAAAGACAAGCCTTCCTCCGAGTTATCCTCCGAGGTCGTGGGTGTGTCAGGCTGGCAGTAAGTCGGCAGGGGTGCCGAGTAGAGAATGTCAGCCTAATTCTACTAACCAGAGACGGCACCTAGATGGACATGGTGTTATATTACCTGGGAACCGCCCCCCATCCAGAAATCCTAGATATGTCAGGAATGGAGGTGTGGACAAAGGTTAGGACAAACAGAAGCTGTCCTTTGGGAGGAGCTTCTCAAAACTTCAGCACCTCTGATTAAGCACACACAGGAGTAGGATCGCGCACTTTGCCTCTCTGGGCCTGGTTGCGCAGTCTTCTGCTCCAGGGTCTGGGCCACCCCATCTTCCCGTCTTTCTGTCTCATTCACCTTCCCGTCTGCCTGTCTGTCTGCAGCCACCCATTTACTGACTGCTTTGGTCCTTGGTGCCCTGCCATGCTCCTCGGTGTACAGGGATGGCTGAATCGCCTTTCCTGGGACTCCACCACCCTCGAGAGCCCTCTCCTCCTGTCGAGTTCATCCCGGCAACCCCAAGGCCACGGTTTCCTCTTTCCAAGATAAGCTGGAATCAGAACCGAGGTCAGAATTCACCAGTCACCCGTAGAAACACTAGCAGCTAGAAAATCTATTGCCTACGGAAAGAAGCCAAACTTTAAGACATTCAGAGTCCGATTTTATGAAAGGTTCTGTGTGGGGTCAACTCAGGTGGGGAGAAGCAGTGTCCACCGTGACGCAGGTGGGCTCTGTCCCCCGCACCCTGCAGACTGCTTACAGACTGCTCATCCTCCCGCCCCAAACGCTCCGGTCCCACGGCTTGTTCTCCAGTTTCTGCAGCTAATATACGCTCTGGCTGAGTAAGTGTTCAACAAGCATTAAATGGCCTGCCTAGTAGTTCAGAGTGACCAAAGTGTGTGTGTGTGTGTGTGTGTGTGTGTGTGTGTGTGAAAGAAAACAGACCACTTTCCCCTTTGTAACCTAACTTACAGTAAATAGATGAATCGTCCTTTTTTGTCATTTTGTACTGTTTAGTTACAAATTTATTTTTGAAGTATAGTTTACATAGAACTTTATTCAACAGTTTGCTTTTTGGTTTAACTTTTGCTATAGGGTGCATGCGCTCAGCGGAGAGAGACGGGGAGAGAGAGAGAGAAATCCCCTCCCAGGGCATGGCCATGCCACAGTCCTTGGCGTCACTCTGCGCTCTGTCCCTAAACAGACTAACGGGAGCGAGTCGGACACTGGCAGAAAGCGATGACTGCAGGCTTGAGTGTGGCGTCATCATCTGAGACCAGCACAGCACTGAGCCCGCTGCGTGACGAGCTAGCTGTCAGTGCAGCCGTCGTAATGAACCCCAGGGAGGGATCGGTCGCGGCTCCTGGGGGTAACGCCGCTCAGCCTGCTCCGCCTCCCAGGGGCCCAGCTCCTCGCCTTAATTATTTCAGTCATCTTCATGGTAGTCCCAGGAGCAAGCCGCTGACGCTTCCTCTGAACAATAACGAAAGGGAAGCGACTGCATTTTCTTCTGGGCTGCGTTCTTGTTGGGAGCTGGCCGGCCCCTCGAACGGCCTCTGCGTGTCCACCGATGAACAGGCTTTGAGTCACCGTGAACGCCGGCCGGACGCACCCATGCAGTGGAGGTTGCGGGAACCGGCTGAGCCACGCGCGCAGTGCGGGCAGCAGGCAGTGCAGGGATGGAGACGGTTGATGGGTGCTGGTGCCAGCGTGGGCAGTGCCAGCCGGGGGAGGCGCGCTGGGAGGAGCCCACCACTGCCTCTTCCTGCATTTCTTCCACCTGCAGCGGGGGCCAGGGCGCTGTGGGGAGCGTCCGTCCATCCAAGGGGCGCGGGCCTTCTGGTCCTGCTCCATGGTCTCAGCTGGGGGCTCTCAGAGGGACACCTGAGCAGGGCATGCTGGGGATCTCAGTGACTCTGCTTGCTGGTCTCGTGCCTGTGACCCTTCATTTCTCTAGCACTCCGACTGCTCCTCACCCCCAGAAGAGGGCAGTGCCTGTGCGTGGACATGCCTTGTCTGGAAGCAGGACACACAACCCCAAACCGCTCGATCTAGTCGGCCATGGTCCCCGTCCCACCTACCGGCCGATCAGACTTCCCGGAGTCTGGTTGTTTCACTTCTGTCTCTTGGTTAGACTGTGGGCTTTCTGGCTTGATATTCAGGTCAGGAGTTTTTTCTTTTTAACTCTTTGTAATTTGCCTACACCCCAGAAATCCCGCCGTGCCGGGGCATCCGGGTGCACAGTCCACACTCGGGTGGGTCTGTTTGCGCCCATGGCTGTACCGAGTGCTGCCAAGCCCTGGTTGTGCGGTTTTTCCTCCCCTTCTCGCTCACCAAATGAAGGCTTAGCCGCCACTGCTTTGAGCCCTACTCTATTTTTGCCTGAAGTCACCCTAAAAGGGAGGCCTTTGAAATGCAAAGGATTGGGCTGCAGTGGCTGGTGTACTCAGGGTGGGGCTAATTACGAGGTTGGAAACCTCTTCAGGTGGCCAGGGCTGCGGCTGCGGGGACTAAAATACAGCTTTCCTAAATCTGGAACAGCTGGGCCGCGCTGCCAGCAGCATAAAAGGCAGGAGGCTCGGGGCCCGGCTGTTCCTGCTCCTCCGAGCTCCTGGAGCGTTGGGCAAGGGCCGCTCCTCCTCGGTGCCCTGGTAAGTGCCCAGGCTGGTCCTGGGTGCCAGATGCATGTGTGCAGGACTGGCTGCATCCCCTATCGTCTGCTACTAGGTTGCCGTGCCCGTAGTACCGTTTATCCATCATGTAACAAACCCTGCTTGCTACCTGCAGGACGAGGCGGCTCAGGCCTCCTGTGTCTTGTCGCTATTATTTTGAAGACTGCTAGTTTCTTTTTTTCTTTTCTTTTTTTGTTTTTTTTTTTTTGAGTGGTTTTTGCTATAGGGTGCATGCACTCTCCAGAAAGACAGAGAGAGACAGAGAGACAGAAAGCAAGAAATCACCCCCCCACCAGGGGGGATGGCCACGCCGCAATCCCTTCTCCTCCATTCTCCTCTCGGGATCTTGGGCACGCACGCACACGCGCCCGGCGTGAGTTTAAGCCACCAGGTCCGGGACTTGAACCGCAGTCGACTATCGTGGGAGTCCAGCGTTCATAGCCATTACGCTAACTGCTGGTCCCCAAGACTGCCAGTTTCTCACGAGTCGCGTCCATCTCGAAGAGGAAAGGATAAACCGAGGTAGCTCCACCCGTGTCTGGAGCGTGTTACTTCTGAATCTGTTCTTAAAAGTGGGTGCTTCAGCATAATTAGGTTTTTAATGAGAAAGTAGAACATGACAATTTTGGCAGCTACAGAAAGTAACAAGTACCCCGTGCCGGAAGCGGCTCCCGGTCCTTCCTTCTCCAAGGTCGCTAGAACAGGCGTGGCTTAGGAAGGAATGATGCGGTCTCCGGGCAGGCTGTGGCTTACTGTGACTTCACAGTTGGAACCAGTAATGGTGCCTGACGAATGTGTGCAATGCAGGGACCTGGCTTCTCATTTAAAGAGATTTACAGGGAATTGATTGTTAAAATGTTCCTGTCGCTACTGACATCGGCTCAAAAAGACAGGGATTCCAAGATAAGGCGGTCCAGTGTGTTGTGAGTGAACTCGACCTCGGCAGCCTGCACCATGTTCTGACTGTAGAGGTGTAAGCGATGGCTCTGGCGATTGTCTTCTTTCTCGGAGAATGGTTTGCTTTCGGAAGGTTGACCATTGGACAGGCAACGTTTCTGACCGTAGTTCTGTTCTGTTTTTAGGTGGGGTAGGAACATCCTCCGGGGGAAGGAGCCCTGGCTTCCTTTCCTAAAAGGGCCACCAAACGGCGGGTCGCTGGGGGGGGGGGCCACAACCTGAAGGTGCCACCAACGGGCGGGGCGCGGGGGGGGGGAGCCACAACCAGATGCTACCTGCTCTACTCTGCACGGGGCGACAGAGTGAGCGATGAGTCCATGCTGACCTTGGACGTAGGAGGGTTGAGAGAAGGAACGCTCCCGCGGCGAGCAAGAACTCTGCCCTCTCCGTTTTGATCTGACGCTGGGGACGATGGATGTTATAGAGACCGCGAAACTCGAAGAGCATATGGAAAATCAGACCAACGATCCTGCAAACACCTACACAAGACCTGCTGAGCCCATTGAGGAAGAAAACAAAAATGGCAACGGTAAACCCAAGACCTTATCCAATGGGCTGCGAAAGGCTACCAAGAAGTACCCGGACTATGTCCAAATTGCCATGCCCACCGAGTCGAGGAACAAGTTCCCCCTGGAGTGGTGGAAAACGGGCATCGCGTTTGTGTACGCACTCTTCAACCTTGTCCTCACCACCGTCATGATCACGGTTGTGCACGAGAGGGTCCCTCCCAAGGAGCTCAGCCCTCCGCTCCCAGACAAGTTCTTCGACTACATCGACCGGGTGAAATGGGCGTTTTCTGTATCAGAAATAAATGGGATTATATTAGTTGGATTATGGATCACCCAGTGGCTGTTTCTGAGATACAAGTAAGTCAGTCTGCTATGGTTTGGGGGTTTGCCATTGGGTGTTTTTTTGAGTAGATATGTCATTGCCCTCTCTTGGTCTTTTCTAATGAATTCAGTATTACCCAGACATGTGATGAGAGAAAACGGTAGAAAGATGTACACACTGAGTCAGTCTGGTCAGCTGTTCCACGTGTGTGTGTTGGGCCAGTGTGGATGACAGTCGCAGGTGGGCCGCAGGCCTGCCGTGAGTGATTCGGAGGTTCTGAATCCAAGGTGCAGTTCCTGCTTGCCAGCAGCTGGCCCTGCGGAGTTTGTGCGGACTAACGTTTCCTTCAGCGTGCGCGTTATTTCAGGCTCTTGGCGGGTGGGAAAGAGGTGGCAGGGAGCTTCTTTCTCCATTCCGCGCAGTGTGAAAGTGACATCGGTCTGCAGTCCCCTGCCCCCCGTCCCAGCGTGGGGATCTGCCCCATCCAGAGGTTCTCATGTTTTACGATTTTTCCCTTTTTGTCTGTTGGCCAGTCGCAGGTGTTTGTTTAAGAAACTGAACTATAGCTGGCTCCCGCAGTTCGGTGTTGGGGTTCCAAAGTCAACTTGCGGCCTGGTTTCCTCTTGGCACCACCGAGGGCTCAGCCTCCCTGCGTCAGGACAGTAGGGACCAGGAAGCATGCCAGGCACTTTTGCTTTGAAGGCGCTTGAAGACTGGACCCAGCTCTGAAGCGGTTATTTCTGCTTCTCTGTGTGAATTCTGACATCCAGTCCGTAAAATCTAAATCCTCCCAGTTTTCCTTTCATCTCATTCGTCATTCAGATGCCTATTTTCTTTAGTTTCCAGGAATTAAATCACCAACATGTGAGTTTGATCAAAACATCCCCCATAATCTGAGGCTGTTAAAGTTGTCGTGTATGCTGACTCAGTACAGTTTGAAAAGCCAAAGTCCGGCGGGCTTTCAGGGTTAATGCCACAAGATGGTTTTTAGAAGCGAGAATTTCAACTCCGTTGTTCTCGCAGTTGGCTGTTGCTTGCGATGGGAGGAGTTCAGTCTGCCTTTGCTACAGAGTTTCTTATGCAGCTCTGCAGCCGGCAGCCCTTCTCCTTTCTGGATTTGGGCACATACACAGAAGTGCCCCGCGTGTTTCTCAGGCCTCTGGGCCCAGGGTTTGAGCCGCATATTTGGCCATGGGGGATCCAGCCACCCTAACCACCATGCCGCCAGGTGGCCCTATCATTTTACTTTTGATACTGAATTGGATCTTCCATTTTAGTAACTAGTGGAATAATTCTTATAGCTTGTTTCGGACAGCCCGGCAGAACAAGCAGTCCTCGTGGCTCGCACCCTCCGTGTTAAAAGCACCTGCGACGCCATGGTCAACAGCCATGGTCAGCAGTTCTCCAAAGAAGGCTGCAGGGTGCATGCCTCACCCTCAGAGCCCGCTTTCCGTCTGAGGATGGCTGAGCTCCACACGTTGGAAAGCGTACGACCGGCTCCTCTACCTTGGCTCGCTTACTCCTTGCCCAGCAGCGGGGAGCGCGATTCACGGCCAGGCTTGTGTAGGCCTTGGCTGGACGCAGAGGGACGTCGCTGTTCACCTCACCAAGGTGGGCAGCTCAGGCTGTGTATTACCGGCTCTCTTCAGGACCAGAGTGGACAGGACAGGAATCCGAGTGGACAGGACAGGAAGCCTGGCCTTGGCCAGAAATGCCTGGGCAGAAGTGAATTCTTCCACCTACCAGTCTGGCCAGTGTCCCTTTCCTTTTCTAGTTTTTTCAACCTTAGACATTCCAAAATGCTTTTGAAATAGCTACTAGGGACAAACAGCTAAAATACGTATTTGTACATAACTCCTTAAATTAGAAGTCTCAGCATTAGCATCGTTAGACCTCCATCCATGTCAGAGCCACAGTCTTGGAGGAAGGACCTGCGACGCGCTCAACATTCCTGTTTCCCAGCACTGCAGTCACTCTCTTTCGCAGTGTGCGAGCTTGGAAAGGGCCTGGAGTGCCACACAGCCCGTGCCAGGCACGCTAAACTAGCCATCCTCGGGGTCTTGTGGAGTCCCAGCCAGCTGTGAGCCCCAAACCCACAGACCCCACTGCACAGCAGAGCAGGCACCGTGTGCCTGGAAGCGGGCACACTCAGAACCCGATGCCCCCACGGGTGCCCCCGAGCAGCGTGCCCTGGGCAGAGCCCTCCCCCGGGGGACGGTGTTCAGAGTCAGCCATGGGCCCACCGTGAGGCCCACCACCGCAGATGGAGGGATCAGCTAACGTCAGCCCAGGGACCAGCACTAGTCTAGACAGCCATCCCCACTAAAATGTAAGAAAGAACCCACGGGTGATGCCCAAAGCGGCGGGTCGCTGGAGGGAGGAGCCACAACCAGATGCTACCTGCTCTACTCTGCACGGGGCGACAGAGTGAGCGATGAGTCCATGCTGACCTTGGACGTAGGAGGGTTGAGAGAAGGAACGCTCCCGCGGCGAGCAAGAACTCTGCCCTCTCCGTTTTGATCTGACGCTGGGGACGATGGATGTTATAGAGACCGCGAAACTCGAAGAGCATATGGAAAATCAGACCAACGATCCTGCAAACACCTACACAAGACCTGCTGAGCCCATTGAGGAAGAAAACAAAAATGGCAACGGTAAACCCAAGACCTTATCCAATGGGCTGCGAAAGGCTACCAAGAAGTACCCGGACTATGTCCAAATTGCCATGCCCACCGAGTCGAGGAACAAGTTCCCCCTGGAGTGGTGGAAAACGGGCATCGCGTTTGTGTACGCACTCTTCAACCTTGTCCTCACCACCGTCATGATCACGGTTGTGCACGAGAGGGTCCCTCCCAAGGAGCTCAGCCCTCCGCTCCCAGACAAGTTCTTCGACTACATCGACCGGGTGAAATGGGCGTTTTCTGTATCAGAAATAAATGGGATTATATTAGTTGGATTATGGATCACCCAGTGGCTGTTTCTGAGATACAAGTAAGTCAGTCTGCTATGGTTTGGGGGTTTGCCATTGGGTGTTTTTTTGAGTAGATATGTCATTGCCCTCTCTTGGTCTTTTCTAATGAATTCAGTATTACCCAGACATGTGATGAGAGAAAACGGTAGAAAGATGTACACACTGAGTCAGTCTGGTCAGCTGTTCCACGTGTGTGTGTTGGGCCAGTGTGGATGACAGTCGCAGGTGGGCCGCAGGCCTGCCGTGAGTGATTCGGAGGTTCTGAATCCAAGGTGCAGTTCCTGCTTGCCAGCAGCTGGCCCTGCGGAGTTTGTGCGGACTAACGTTTCCTTCAGCGTGCGCGTTATTTCAGGCTCTTGGCGGGTGGGAAAGAGGTGGCAGGGAGCTTCTTTCTCCATTCCGCGCAGTGTGAAAGTGACATCGGTCTGCAGTCCCCTGCCCCCCGTCCCAGCGTGGGGATCTGCCCCATCCAGAGGTTCTCATGTTTTACGATTTTTCCCTTTTTGTCTGTTGGCCAGTCGCAGGTGTTTGTTTAAGAAACTGAACTATAGCTGGCTCCCGCAGTTCGGTGTTGGGGTTCCAAAGTCAACTTGCGGCCTGGTTTCCTCTTGGCACCACCGAGGGCTCAGCCTCCCTGCGTCAGGACAGTAGGGACCAGGAAGCATGCCAGGCACTTTTGCTTTGAAGGCGCTTGAAGACTGGACCCAGCTCTGAAGCGGTTATTTCTGCTTCTCTGTGTGAATTCTGACATCCAGTCCGTAAAATCTAAATCCTCCCAGTTTTCCTTTCATCTCATTCGTCATTCAGATGCCTATTTTCTTTAGTTTCCAGGAATTAAATCACCAACATGTGAGTTTGATCAAAACATCCCCCATAATCTGAGGCTGTTAAAGTTGTCGTGTATGCTGACTCAGTACAGTTTGAAAAGCCAAAGTCCGGCGGGCTTTCAGGGTTAATGCCACAAGATGGTTTTTAGAAGCGAGAATTTCAACTCCGTTGTTCTCGCAGTTGGCTGTTGCTTGCGATGGGAGGAGTTCAGTCTGCCTTTGCTACAGAGTTTCTTATGCAGCTCTGCAGCCGGCAGCCCTTCTCCTTTCTGGATTTGGGCACATACACAGAAGTGCCCCGCGTGTTTCTCAGGCCTCTGGGCCCAGGGTTTGAGCCGCATATTTGGCCATGGGGGATCCAGCCACCCTAACCACCATGCCGCCAGGTGGCCCTATCATTTTACTTTTGATACTGAATTGGATCTTCCATTTTAGTAACTAGTGGAATAATTCTTATAGCTTGTTTCGGACAGCCCGGCAGAACAAGCAGTCCTCGTGGCTCGCACCCTCCGTGTTAAAAGCACCTGCGACGCCATGGTCAACAGCCATGGTCAGCAGTTCTCCAAAGAAGGCTGCAGGGTGCATGCCTCACCCTCAGAGCCCGCTTTCCGTCTGAGGATGGCTGAGCTCCACACGTTGGAAAGCGTACGACCGGCTCCTCTACCTTGGCTCGCTTACTCCTTGCCCAGCAGCGGGGAGCGCGATTCACGGCCAGGCTTGTGTAGGCCTTGGCTGGACGCAGAGGGACGTCGCTGTTCACCTCACCAAGGTGGGCAGCTCAGGCTGTGTATTACCGGCTCTCTTCAGGACCAGAGTGGACAGGACAGGAATCCGGGCCTTGGCCAGAAATGCCTTGGCATAAGTGAATTCTTCCACCTACCAGTCTGGCCAGTGTCCCTTTCCTTTTCTAGTTTTTTCAACCTTAGACATTCCAAAATGCTTTTGAAATAGCTACTAGGGACAAACAGCTAAAATACGTATTTGTACATAACTCCTTAAATTAGAAGTCTCAGCATTAGCATCGTTAGACCTCCATCCATGTCAGAGCCACAGTCTTGGAGGAAGGACCTGCGACGCGCTCAACATTCCTGTTTCCCAGCACTGCAGTCACTCTCTTTCGCAGTGTGCGAGCTTGGAAAGGGCCTGGAGTGCCACACAGCCCGTGCCAGGCACGCTAAACTAGCCATCCTCGGGGTCTTGTGGAGTCCCAGCCAGCTGTGAGCCCCAAACCCACAGACCCCACTGCACAGCAGAGCAGGCACCGTGTGCCTGGAAGCGGGCACACTCAGAACCCGATGCCCCCACGGGTGCCCCCGAGCAGCGTGCCCTGGGCAGAGCCCTCCCCCGGGGGACGGTGTTCAGAGTCAGCCATGGGCCCACCGTGAGGCCCACCACCGCAGATGGAGGGATCAGCTAACGTCAGCCCAGGGACCAGCACTAGTCTAGACAGCCATCCCCACTAAAATGTAAGAAAGAACCCACGGGTGATGTGGAGGTTAAGGCGTTGGATCCCATGAGGCCAGACACACCACTCGGGTCCCAGACCCAGTGGCTTGAGAGTCATGCCAGGCACATACATGTACATGCGTGCCCCAAATCTTGAGAGGAGAACGAAGGGACTGTGGCATGGCCATCCCCCCGGAGGTCACTTTTCATTTTCCTTCTCTCCTCCTCTCTGGTGAAGCACACACCCCATAGCAAACTAGGAAAAGGAGAAAGACCCATGGGCTGTTTTTGTCCTTTTCTGGTTAAGACTGAATAAAGGATGTGTAAGTCGCTTGGTTTGCAGCTTCACTACTAAACCTCCATAAGGGAAGTACAAGGGCACTCCACTGACTTCAGAAGAGAATTCTCTGAAAATATGCTTGGTGCTTGAGAAGAGCGTTCACGCCCTCCATCGGAATGCCCCTTGGTAGTCTCCACACAGACCTTGCTGAGGCAAGGGGTTAAGTGAGCTGTCACCTGCCCTGCCGTGCCCAGTTAGGTCTCATCAGCTCGGCGCGTGAGCGGATCCCCCGTGACCGGGGTGTGCACACCTCTGCTGTGTTCAGAGAACGGGGTTACTAATGCAGTCACGTGACTGAAACAGGTTGGCCGAACTCCCTGGCAGAGGCCGACTTTGGGGAGAGGTTGTTCCTAGACCCGCTCGGCTCTAGGTCTCCAACTCTGCACATGCACGTCTCTCTGCCCAGCTCACTGCGTTATTAGAATGCACGAGCCTTTATTTCTGGAAACGGGGTGCATCCTCTGCATGGCATCTGGGAATGGGCGGCCCGGGGCTGTGAAACTGGCTCGATTGTCAATGCCAGCTGTATTCGGCGTCAGTCGCCCTGTAAACTGCCCCTGCTCTGTCGGGGCCGGGTGGTCCAGCAGGCTCATCTCCTCTCACCCCTGTCTCCCCGCAGGTCGATAGTGGGGCGCAGGTTCTTCTTCATCATCGGGACCCTGTACCTGTACCGCTGTGTCACGATGTATGTCACCACCCTCCCGGTGCCGGGGATGCACTTCCAGTGCGCTCCCAAGGTAAGCCCCTCCGCTCTGTCAGAGCAGTCAGGAAGCCGCTGCTCCCCGCTCCCGGCCGCCCTCTCCTCAGTGTTACCGGGATCGGCGTATTTTCTCTCTCTCTTCAGACTTGGGAAGAAATCAAATGTCTGTCCGCACGCATACCAAACGTCATTTTCTGGGAACTGGGAGTTGGGCACTGCCACCTTCTCCCTGCCGTCTCCCTAGTCCTGCGCTCCTTCTGCCAGCATGAACCTATGACCAAGTCCCGCGGTAAACTGGTCCCCTCCCCCCCAGCACGGTCCCCCAGGGACCCACATGACACAGTCATGGTTTGCCACACAAGGCCAAGTCGAGCAGTTGTCACAGAAACCGCACGCCGCTGAGGGTGGAGAGGGCCGGGGGACGGCAGGCTCTCCTCCCTAGAGGCTGGGAAGGGTGCTTTAATACCGCTGTGTGCACAGGAGCCGGGAGAGGACGCAGGGATGCCGGGGCTCAGGCCAGGAGCCTCACTCTGTCTCCATGGGCTCAAGGACAAGCAGGGAGACCCATGTGGCCGAGTGGACTCATGTGGGCCAGGGGTCTGGGCCACAGGTGCCCTGGGGCCTTGTGCCCCCTGAAGGAATGTGGCCATGGTGGTGGCAGTGGGATGAAGAGAGGTCGTTTGATTTGGGACGTGGTTTGAAGGCAGGACTGGAAGCGGTAGACATGGGCTTGAGACGGGGTGAGGGGCAAACTCAGAGTCTCCCAGCAGTGGAAAGGCAGAGCAGTCCGGCTGAGGCAGAGGTGGGGTGTTGGCCCCCTGAAGCCATTGTCAGACGGAAGGACAGGTTTCCA